CGGCTGCCCGGCCAGGCCATTCCTATAGTGGCAGGACCTGACCCGATGTGCAGGGAGTGCGTGCCATGTCGGGTCTTGCTGCCATGGACCTGGCCCAGCTGGGCGGTAGAGGGGCCCCAGGACCCAGCTGGGCTTGGCATACGGCAGATGAGCCTCAGGGCCAGCCACATGCCACGTCCTGCCTCTGCCCCACTGTGCCTGTTGGGTGTGCGGACCTGGCACAGCCCCATGTGGCTCTCTAATCCAGCTTTGCACTGGAGTGGGTCACACAGCTCTGGGAGGCATAACTCCTGTGCATGCTTCCTGGAGTTGTGAGACCTGGTCCAGTGCAAAGACAGACTAGCAAGCTGCACTGATCTGGGCCAGGTCCTCACCCCCCAGACCCCTGGGGACATCCCCCTGCCACCCCTCACCCACCCACACCCATGAGTGCCCCCCCCACTTTACCTTGGACAGTGCCAGGGGCTGAGGCATCAGGAGAAAGAGATGCTCTAGCTGACACCAGAGTGTATCTTTTGGAGGACTGACCTCCTGGCACCGTCTGGGACCATGCCTTGCTCCGCTCTTCTGCGGAGCGGTTTTTTTAGACCCCTGGATATCTAAACTTGCAGCACAGGGAGCATTTTTTCATTCCCACATGTGTCACAGGCCAGCTGGGCACTGTGAGTGTATCAGTTTTATCACAGGCCAACTGGGCTGTTTGATTCAGTTTCAGATCGAGGAGGCAAAAGTTGGGAGTGGAATAAAGGCAAATTTATTATAGCTTACACACACACACACACAACAGTTAACAGAAAGATAAATGCAATAAGCAGATAAGGCAGTATAAAAGAGCTAATAGTAAATAATAACAACAGATAATAACAACAGATAGATAGATAGATCAATCTGTCACAGGCCAACTGGGCACTGCGAGGGTATTAGCCACACTGGGCTGTTCAAAACAACAAATAGACAGACATGGGTTGGCAACTTATCGATAGTCCCTCAATGCCAGGTGCGTGCCAAGTGATTCCAGCGAAGTCGGGTGTCCCTGATGATTGATGCTGTCAGAGGGATTACCGGGGAAGATCCCTTGCTCAGGATCCGATCCTCACTCACACCGGGAGTCTGGGGTCCAGGCGTGGGACAGAAATGACCGTTCTGTTCCCTCCTTCCTGCTGGCTGCCTGATGCATGTGTTTTTTATACCTAGTTTTA